GTGCCCACATCCCCCCACATCTTGGTGTCGTCAGCAAATTTGAACAGGGTGCTTTTTACCCCCACGCCCAAGTCGCTGATGAAGATGTTGAACAGTGGGGCCTGAGGACCAAGCCCTGCGGAACCCCACTGCCCACATCCCTCCAGGTCGAAAATGACCTGTCCACCACCACTCTCTGGGTGTGGCCCTCCAGCCAGCTGGCGACCCATTTGACTGTGTAGGTGTCAACACCACAGTCCCCTAGTTTTTTTTAATGAGAATGGGGTGAGAGACAGTGTTGAAGGCCTTCCTAAAGTCCAGAAAGACTACATCCACTGCTACCCCTGCATCTAAGGGTTTGGTGACCTGGTCATACAAGGCCACCAGGTTGGTCTGACAGGACCTGCCTCTAATGAACCCATGTTGGTGGCCCCAAACATAACCTACCCCGCTGGCCCCTCATGGACATGTGCCAGGATAATTCTCTCAAAAAGCTTACCCAGGATCGAGGTAAGACTAACTGGTCTTTTAAACACTAGTCTTTGAAAACACTTCCATTTCTGTCAAAATATTCGCTCAGTGCTGAAGTGTCTGTACACTTTGAAAACTGTTGGGTGACTGGTAAAGTTAAAAGTTCATTTGCTTGCCAACATGTTTTCACTCATATTTCTAAGCTGGCAACATCTGAATGAAGATACAAAGAAGTTTTGCTGCTTATTAGAGAACAACACTTATAGCTAGTAATTTTCACTTACGATTCAATTCCTAAGGGAAATTCCTGGCTCATGGCTATTGTGGCTTTAAAGGTTTTCTTGCTTTCCTTGCAGACCAGTTCTCTACCCAGATGAGGAGCTCTTAAGAAAAGAAAGAAACAGTTGATTGTAATGGGATGCTTCTTTTACAGAAATAAAACTAGATTTTAGTTAAGGCAAGGAATATATATAACGCTGTCAAACAATTAAAAAAAGAACCGTAATTAATCACGAGATTAAAAAAATAGTTGCGATTTATCACAATTTTAAATCACGCAATTAAACAATACTAGAATCTCAATTTATCATAAATATTTCTGGATGTACACAAGCCCTAGACAGTCCCCAAGACCTGTCCCTCCAACCCGTCCCACCCATACACTTACCTGCATCCAGCTGCTGAGTGTGTGCGCGTGTGTGCGCATAGGCGTACATGCATGTCTGTGGCTAGGCGGAAAGGGGCCACTTTTGCAGCACAGGCAGGCATGCAGCAGTGAGGAGAGAGGGGCTGCTTTTTCCACCCCCCATCACCAGCAGTGATTAATGCACATTAAAAAAATAACGCAAAATCAAATAAATGCATTATTCATGGCAGTTAATTGCGATTGACAGCCCTAATGTTATATAGGTAAATCTGATATCTTTCATTAGACCAACTCAACTAGTTGAAAATATTCTTCTTTGCAAGCTTTCAGGTATAAATACTCTTTGTCAGGCTGAGGAAACATCTGCAATTAGTCTGTCCTCTTCCTAGATAGAATGAATAGTAAAGAAGCCGGAGGCTGGTATGCATGCAAGAAAGCCAGTCAGTGAAGATATAAATTCAAGAGTCAGTGGTGTTACTTCACGATGATCATTATCCAGAATGGTAAAATACAGGCCACCATATACGAGAAACTCACGTACCAACATACATATCTGCACAGAACCAGCAATCACCCTAGGCACATCAAAAGAGCTGTAATATATAGCCAAGCCCTCTGATACCACCAAATTTGCACTGAGGAGAACACCCGCGATTGCCATCTCACAAATCTCAAAAGGGCTTTCACTCAGAACAAGGACACAGAGAGATGCATCACACTACTGAAAGAGCCACCCAGATACCATGTAAAGAATTGCTACAGTACAGAAGGAAAACCCCATGAATTGCACACCACTGGTTATGACATGTCCCTCCCCAGAACCTACATGGAAAATCTTCAAACAACTGTAACCCATACTAAAAGAAGACCCAATTCTTAAAGATATCTTCCTATTCTAGTTTTCAAACAACCACCAAAACCCACTAACCTCATTACCAGAAGCACCCTGCTCCTCCCCACCTTGCCCCCTGGAGGAAGGAGGGGAAGCCTAGAGATCCCAGATCCTGCTGTAACCACAGCAACTGGAGGGGGGTGACAGCCAGGCGGGAGCCTGAGGGCCACAAATTTACCCCTCATGGGCTGCATGTGGCCTGGGGCCATGAGTTGAACAGCCTTGATCTAATGCAATTAAAAATCCATTGAGATTATCAAATAACCTATTATATGCTTTATTTAACATCTCCCCTTGTTCGATAACCCTTGCTACTTAACACAGTATCTCGATTAAGACTACAAATTAACTGAAACATGGACTACATAATCACTGTTTTTTTGTGAAAAAACACAGTACGTTTCACCGTCCACAAACTAAAACACTTAGGGAAAAATGAACTCAATGGCTATAATTAAGATGCACTGACTTCCAAGCCATGGTGTTAGATAAACTTACACAAGGTTTGGCTGCTGAGAAGCTTCATATAGTCATTTTTCAGAAATGCCCTCTATTGGACACAGATAAAGACTCATCCCATAAGTTATATATTTGATTTTGCAATTTATTTGACACTATCATCATAAGCAAAAGTAAAATAAATGTTGTAGATAGAAAGCTGTACTGAAGTAGTCTGAAACAGACATTAACTTTTGGAATGTCTTTATATTTTGAGCTTTGGGTATCAAAGAATATGAAAGTTAAAATACTGTTATGTTTTCTGTTGATTATACTGTCCAATTAGTTATACACTCAGCATAGCCTTATAGATAAAGAATTCATGCCCTTTTTAATTCATCCTAATCTAGAGAAAAGTGTAAATATTTTACAGGTCAAGGCAAGAAAATACAGAAACAATAGGAGATGTAAAGATATAAGCTACAAAAGCAAGAAGTAGTCTACAGTTGAAAAAGATGAACAACATGGAAATACTTACTTTCCATTTTCAGCTGATATGTACTCTTCCCATGTAATTGTGTTGGGTGGAGGTGGAGTAAGAGACTGTCGTCTAACAGGCTGTTAAGGAAAACAAGTCATTATTTGTGTAATAGTGAACTACTGTACCATTCAAGAGGCCACTGCATTTTGAAATCTATAACAAGCAGTATTCTTTCCAGCCCATATGAAGCCATGCAAGTTTACCAGCTCCGTATAATCTCTACCTCCTGCTCTTCCTCCCCCTGACAACTATCCCTTTGCTCACTAAGCTTGAAACATTAAGTCAGACACTATGGTAGTGCTAGGTACTGTCCAGACAGAAGAACTCCTGCACCAAAGAGCCTTCAATCCAAAGAAAGTATATATTTTAGATATATAACAAACCCATCACATCAAGCTTTATTTTAATAAAGCCAATACCAAAAACATGAGGATTGCAATCATTTTAAAAGCCTGTACATGCATCTGTTCTCAGGAACCTCTGGGCTAAGTACAAATGGACAAAAAACCTGAAGCTGAATTCATTCAATCTTCCCAGGTTAGTCTAACCTGCATAGATTGAACTGATAAGCAAGTGAACAGACATTCACTTTTGATTCCAGAGATGCAGCCACATGCCTGCAGTGGTTCACGCCAGATATCAGGGGATGCTAGAGCACATCTTCCTGCTTGGCTGGAACAGACAGCTTGGGCCAAGGCAAAGCATCCTGGGATGCTGGGAGACTGACAGTTGACTTGAATCTGGAGCAGGATCTGGGACAGAAGTTCAATAAATTGATTTAACCTAAGTATCAGTTAAGTCTGATACTACATCCCTCCAGGTATATCGTAAATTGGTTTCAGCCATTTTGAAAGTGGTTTATGCACACTGAACTTCTATTGTGTTACTGATATGAACTGGTTTCTCATCACTTATACTGGTTTATGTGTACTTTCGATCCATAGCCCTGAAGATCAGAAGCTGAGAGGTAAACAGGGCATGGAGAACAGTGTTGTGGTATGCTGCTGAGGCCATTTTGAAGCACTTGGATAAAGGGGTTGTGCCTGGTGAATTTGAAGCACTCTGGAATTCAAAATGCTTCAAACACATTTCTGACCATGGTGTGAAATGCCAGTGTTCTCATTACTCATTCTTGACAGCCAGTCTGAGACTGTAGCAGTGTGAAGTTACTGGTTCTCAACTTTTTAGACTTTTAAGATTTAAGCCACCTCTCATTAAACCTAAGGTACTCCTGCATTAAGTGGTACCCTTGCAGAGGGGCCAGGCAGTACAGGCAGGAGAACAGCCAGGCATGGACTGAGCCTGAGCCTGTGCCTATATGCTTATCTCCTCATACCTCATGGCACCCTTCAAAGGCTGACATACCACTCGTGGCACCCCTAGGTGCATTGGTACCTTTGTTGAGAATCACTGTGCTAGGATTCTTTTCTTTGGATAATACCTACCTCCAACGTGGAGTTTGAAAAATTGACCAAGACCCACCATGTCTTCCACCTCCCAGAAACCCAGGCCAAGCAACTTTCACTTATTGCCCAAGATCCACAAACCTGGCAACCAAGAACACCCCACCATTTCTTGCATTGGCACCATCTTGGAGGGAGTTTCTGGCTACACTGACTCTATCCTATACCCATATGCCATACGAGCTGCCAGCTATTTGAAAGACACCACTGATTTCCTAGAGAAAGCAGGTTCCACTACAAAGCTTCTAGCTACTTTAGCTACCAGGGATGTCACAACTTTGTATACCAACATTCCCCATGATGGTTGATTAAAAGCCATAAAGTCATCCTTGATAAGGAGACTGCCTCCATATCCATTGCACTCTCTCACTTTGTTCTCACACACAACTATTTCAGATTTGGAGACTCTTTATATCTACAGACGAGCAGCATTGCCATGGGCACATGTATGCCTTCCCGTATGTCAGTGCATTTAAAACAGACCTTGAAGATGACTTCCTCTGCAACTGCCCTCTCATCACATTAGTATAGCTGAAATACATTGATGAGATGATCATTTGGACACACGGGAAGGAATTCTTCAGAGAAACTCAATCAGGACTTTAACCACTTCCACCCCTCCACCAAACTGACTCCTGAATACTGCACCCAGCAAATTCATTTCTTGGAAACTGCTGTAAAATTTTGCAATGGCTATAATACCACTGCACTGTATCGAAACCAACAAACCTATAGTTACCGCCACATAACTAGACCTCACCCTAGCAAACCACTAGATTCATCATCTACAGCCTAGCTCTACATTGCAGCTGTATCTACTCTGACCCCACGGACTGGGATATACTCCTTAACAATCTGGAGCTGGGAGGGATTCCTACACTTAAAATACAATTCTAATACTGTAGTCACTCTAAATCAATCAAGTACTCCAGATTATTACAATACCAGCCTCAAGACAAGGACAACCGTATCACCTACAGCCCCCAGTTTGACCAGCTTGGACACATTAACGACCTCTAACCCTGCCAGGAAAATACCATCTCAAAGTAGCCATGAGGGACAAACCTGTTCTAGATTATAGACAGCAGGCCCCCCCGCCCCTCCTCCAACCTTAAACAGCATGTCTTCAGCAACAGACTACCTACCTCCTATTCTTACCAAGGCACTAGACCTTGCTCCAGATACAAATGGCAGCTATGCCTCCTCATCAGCAAAGACCACATCATCACTGGATTAAGCAACACAGATTATAACATCTGAGATTCATTCAGCTGCACCTCTACCAATATTGCATATGCTATCACTTGCTTACAGTGCTCTTCTGCTGACGTTGGACAGATGGGGAGACCCCTATGTTAAAGAATGAATGAGCACTGACTTGACAATAATTCCAGAAAGACATACGAGCCTGTAGGAAAAGACCTAACCTCCCTGGACATTCCATCATCACTGACCTCAGAGTAACTGTTTTTAAATAATGACATTTTAAAAAACAACTTGTACAGGAAACTGTAGAACAAGAAATCATCCACACTGGATTGTGTTAACTATGATCTAAACCATAGTATGGATTCTTATTCCATTAATTAGATTCATTTTTTGTAATCCCCATGTTCCTCAATGAGTTAGCCACTTAGTTTCTCTCTTGTGGGACCAGACCTCCCCCCAGCAGTGCCCCTCTTTTTCTCCCTCTTCTCTATCCTTTGTATTCTAATCACAACTTTCTATTTATGGATTTATGGTAATCTATTTCTGCTTCCTGCAATCCATTCATAGCATCTGATGAAGTAAGCTGCTGCTTATTAAAGTTTATGTAGACTGACTAAATCAGAGATACAAGGCGGAAATCTACCCTGCCACCCGCCTGACTTGAGTCCAGACTAACATGGTTAACTACCTCTATCTACCTTCAAAAGTCTTTAATTAAAAATAAAGTATATACTTCATATGGTGAGCTTGCTGTAAAAATAACTGTGAATAACACTTTAGACATACATATATCCATGTTTTTAAACACATTTAGCCTGTTTAAAAAAAAGAGCTACACTTTTAAAAATGATATCTACAAAGACACTCTAAAGAGAACTTGTCTCCAACTGATTTATCTGAACACCTAAACAATCTGGAGTTGTTTAACATGAAAATAATTGCTTGTTCTTGCCTGGTTGTGAATGAGTATTTAGACTTGTTTTCCCAACTTCAGATCAGTAACATCTCATATAGGTTAGCAGGCACTGCTGTGTTCTTGGTGCTTTTGAAAATATAGCCTCTTTTTGATTCAAGTAAATGGACTTACCTAATTTAGGACATGTACTTTTAAAATCTTGGCCTTATACTCTTAGCACGCAATAAGAACTAGAAACCTATTCTCTGAAACTCTTGTTACAGTTTTGCAATGGCCATGAACGACCAGTGCAAATTACTTTTAAGGGGCCCCAGAATAAATAGTAATTTCAGTAATTGAATAAGCTATGTCCTCACTTATACTATTTGTCCTTTCCTATGTATCCTCTCAACAGACTACTGGAGGCCACTACGTTTAAGGACCACTGTAATTTGGACTTCAGATTTCAGGGGAAAGCCCAAAATTTAGTGTTGCTCCCGAAGACCCAGAAAACTATGATTTGGCCAGAAATGGCATGAAACCACAGGGGAGAGAGACAGCAGGGAAAACAGTTTTTAAAAAAATATACCACAAAACTTACCTGAAGTATGGAGAAGGTAGGCAGCAGAGCCCTGGAAACTGTGGAAGTCCCACGTGTTTCCAGAGACAGCCTAGTACAGACTGAGCCCCACTTTGGTAGGGAGTTTAAAAGCCTCTCTCAGAGCAGAGCAGATAAGTACCCTCCTACCCTACGCAGGCATAGGTATGTTGGGTGCCTGCCTACCCCCAAAGCCAAAGGCAAAAGATGCTCCCACCACAGAGGCTTCCCGAGTCCCACTTTACTTTGCTTTGCTGCTGCACAGGAGTGGAGGGGAATTTCTCCCTTCCATAGACTTGCAGATGTTGAGGGCTGGAAGTGACCTCATGAGATCACTGGGTCCAGCACCCTGCACTTGGGATGAAAAGACTGCTGGGATCAGTTGACCCCAGCAAGGTGCACATCTAGACGTCTTTTAAAGATCTCCAGGGTAGGTGATTGTACCACCTCTGGGGGGAGTCTGTTCCAAACTCTAGGCACTTGAATTGTAAATATGTTTCTCCTTATGTCCAATCTAAAGCGATCTTCAAGCTGTTTGTGGCCACTGGTTCTTGTCTTCCCTTGGGGTGCCTTGGTGAACAGATGCTCCCCAGGCCTTGATGTACGCCCCTTACATATTTATAGGTGTCCACAAAGTCCCCTCTAAGTCTTCTTTTCTCCAGGTTGAACACAGTCCATGTCCTTCAGCCTCTCCTTGTATGACCTGCCCTCCAGACCTCTATAACCATGCGCGTGGCTCTCCTTTGGATTCTCTCAAGCCTCTCCCCATCCTTCCTGAAGTGCAGTGGCCAGAACTGGATGCAGTACTCCAGCTGCAGTCTCACCAAGGACGAGTAGAGCGGGAGGATGACATCCTTAGTCTTGCTTGAGATACACTGGAAGATGCATGCCAGTGTTTTGTTCATTCTGCCA